ACACACACACACACACACACACACACACAGAGGAAGGACACTTGATAGTGCCGGACACGAACAAACTGCTCCTTACATCAAGTTTATCTTGGAGAGAGAGAGAGAGAGAGAGAGAGAGAGAGAGAGAATCATGTGGAAGGTCAACCTTTTGAGGTCTATGTCGATATGTGATGGACGCCAGGCTTCTCTACACGTTGTTTTGTTGGCTCCTGTACTTCCAGATGAGTGATATTGTGGACAATTCATAGGCAATTCGTCATCGACATCGCTTACGAGGACTAGGCCGGACTAGGTATCGATCTTTGTTGGGGAGATGAGAGATGTGGATTAGAGGGCAAAGGAGAGATGGTGATTTCGAAGCGTGTTCCCGGACTCAAAGACAACTTGCTGTTTGGTACATTCAGATCTGTTAAAGTTCAATGTGCAATGACACACAGACGATTAGCCTCGTTCCTCCACAAGGACAACACGAAAAAAAAAAAGAAAAAAAAAAAAGGACGACACCCAAAATCGATATTTTTCATTGAATATTATCAAACAAAACACCATGTGAATCTTAAATTTCGAATTCCGAATCTTAAATTTCGAATTCCGAATTTCAAATTTCGAATTCCGAATTTCAAATTTCGAATTCCGAATTTCAAATTTCGAAATTAAAACGGCTACTAGCCTGCGTGTCAATTGATCCAAAATCTGGACCAGCATGGATGATCTCACAAGTGCCACACTCTATAGCTCCTGAACTCAACTATGAAGTAGATTTGGGAGATACTGCAAGAGGGGCTTTTATTTTGATCGAATCCGGCCGTAATTATGGTCACGTGCATACCAGAAAGTCGTAAAGTTAGCGTTCCTAGAGAAATCCGCCCATTGCAGAATCCCATCCGGTCTTCTGATTACCGCGAGTTCCCCATTCTCAATGTCTAACAATGCGGGAAATCTACAGTCGTAAGAAGAGTAATATCTACATATTAGGAAACAGAACGAAGTACTAAATCCAACCAACTCATCATCCAGAAGGGCGACACCTGCAATCTCTTTCGAGAGTCCGAAGAAGACAGATCGATATCGTTCCACGTGGGAATAGGGTAATCTTCTTTTCTCGATACACAGATCGAAACCTGCAGCAATCTTTCTTCGGGGATCCAGTGCCTGTCATTCCCACACTCTCGTCGTTCTACGTCGCGCGTTCCATGGACGGTCAGCTGAAGCACGCGACCTAACGATGGCAAACGAGCGCAAGAGTAAATAATTGAGTCACTTGACGAATACCTTCCGAGGAACTCTCTCTCTCTCTCTCTCTCTCTCTCTCTCTCTCTCTCTCTCTCTCTCTCTCTCTCTCTCTCTCTCTCTCTCTCNNACACACACACACACACACACACACACACACACACACACACACACACACACACACGCGTCATCATCAGTAGCCACGGAGCATCTTTCTACCACCGGATTGCGAAGATGAGGGAGCAGACTCTGCGGCCTTGGATGATGGTGCATTCTTCGAAGACGGGGCATGCTTGGACGATGGAGCGACGGGAACTGCGGGGGATGACGACGATGCCGCGGGCAGGAAGCAGGCCATCGCGATTTGCTCGTCGACCTGCGCAGGGACAAGGAAGCCGTTCGCAACGACGACAAGAGTCACGTTCGCGTTGATCTGCTTCACCTCCAGTACCGTCGCCGAGAACTGCTCTTGCTCAGCATCGCCGCTGAGGATGACTCCGCTTCCCGTCGCCGGCTCCACGAAGATCGGCATGCCGTTGATGGTCGGCAGTTTGCCGTCGACTGCAACCGAGGACAGATCCGCTGCCGTCTTCACCGGACGCGACAAGGGGCCCACCTCCATGAATCGCAGAATCTGCACCATATGGTCCTTCACGTGCTCGGGCCGGGTGATGCACGCCAGACCATCAGGACCGAGGCCCTCTTGGAGGGCAGCATCAGTCTGCGCGATGAAGACGAACGGAACTGATCCGTTGGATCGATCTCTGAGAGCGTCGACTTCCTGTGTGTCGACGAGGGCCTTCACCACGACCTTGAACCGTTGATCGCTCTGGAGAGTGCCAAAGAGATCGGCCGCGCTAGCAGTAGCGAACACCGACGCTACCAACACCGCCATCACCAAAAGAGCACTGCGTGTCGCCGCCATCTTCTCGGCTAAGAGTACTCTTCCCGGATCTACGAGGAGCAAGGACGGAAAAGGAAAGAACTTGCTGCTGAGCTATGGCGCTTGCAGCGAAGTGAGAGATGCGAGGACGGGGAGGAAGACAAGACAAGCACCTTGCAATGAGAAATCGATCGACTTCGTGACCTCCCCTCCCACGCACTTGGTTTTGTACCCGCCATGTTCTCCTCCTAGATGCGTTGTCCTCTGCATCATTGCCCAAAAGCCCCGCGCTTCTCTGTGCGCTTTTTTTTTTTTCCGACAGTCATTCTGTCTGGCAATCGCTGCGAAGGGCGGAGCCTAGATCTAGCGCAGATCAAGAGACGATAACCGTCGATAGCTTTGATCGGTGCTGAAGAACCGTCGAATTACAGTTGTTTCGAGCCTGCACGTCAACCCCGGCGGACAGTGCCGAAGAAAGCTGTTAAAGTGGCCTGCGGCCACACCTCGTTCCCAGGGAAGGACAAAAGCGCATCTGCCCACGACAGGTGGCAAAATACGCTCGTCACTATCTATAATCAAACCGACGAACCTGGCCATGTTATGCCGGAAGATGCACTCGTTTCGTTTTCGTTTCGTGTGCCGTGCGGCGACTAGGCATATGCAGGGGACCCCTATAAGCATAGCTACCTCTCACAAGCAAGGGGATGCATGTTGCCCCCCACACTACTCAGCAGTGGTCAGGGAGTAGAGGCGGGCCACCGGTGGAGGAAGCGGGGGGCGAAAGATTATGCAAAGACCGAGCACTTTGCCAGTACCATCTAGTTCCCCGCTCTGATCCAGCAATAGCAGTGTTTGTGGCCAGCACTCCCCCACGCAGGACCGGACTTTTCAACTCCTGGCCAATGGGTCCAAAACTCAAATTAGGGTTTGGGGGTCTTTTTTTTTTTTTTTTCAATCACGAGTACTTTTGTCAGCCATTTTTCTCCAATTGGACTGCATGCACACAGCCAGTTTCGGGTATGGGCTCCCCCAGCATAATTACTAGCGCCTATGTGGTGCTCCTCACCCTGCTTTCCTTACGGAGTGGATAATAAATGTGAAACGGCCCGGAAAGCATGCAACTGGGGAGTGCCAAGGATTTTAGGAAAATTTGGGTGTAGAGGAAGGTGCTGGGTTCTATTCCTGTTGCCATCACTTTCAGTGGCCTGAGAAGGATTGGTGGCCACGGCCAGTCAACACTGGTAACTCGCTGGGGCGAGTTGTGCCACCCTGTAACCCGTTGCAATACGGGAGCATCGGGCCAAGTGGAAGTGGCTGCTCAGGTCCTGATGCGGCGGGTCCGGACACATCCAATAAAAGAGCTCTCAGGTTGAGTTCTCAGTCAGAATCATCATAGCTGACATTCATAATTACGATGCTTATCAGGGTTGAGACCGTCAATTTCACGATATTTCCAGAGGCTTAAAAAAAACTCTCAACATACCTGTGACAACATAAGCTCAATAAGGAAGCTCGATAAGTCATGATCATGACATATAATCTACAATGATAACTTCCATAACAATCTCGAATTACCAAGGGCCGGTCACCTGTGGATATATCTCAAGACCGCCGCCCAAAAAAGAAAAAGAAAAAAATGAAAAAGAAAAAAGGAATCTCTTGTGTTGGTTCCACTTATGGTAAGGTGGAAGGCAAGGTGGCGGAAAAGCAATGTCTCCCTTGTTCAAAAGGTACCTAGTACGAACTTGTTCCAGAGCTCTGCAACGTCGTTTACCCCCGGCTGGAATGGTGCAGTTGTGTACAAAGGGTCTCAGTTGGATGAGTGCTCCGCAACATGGCTCGCAGAGCTCGGAAGCAGAATCAGAGGGCTATGTTACCGTTTGAACGCCGTGAACACGCGTTCTCGTTCAAACGCACGCGTTCAATCCCCCTCTGCGAGCGTTCAAACACATTCAAACGCGCCACGTGGCAGGGGCCAGGAAAAAATCGAACGCGCACCCCCTCCCAGCATGCGCGAGTCGTGCACCACACTGGGGCGCGTGGCATTCAAAAAAAGAAGTAAAAAAAAAAAACACGAAATACCCTCACCCAAACATATACACACGCACACCAATACACACAGATATTTACACACACACACACATGCACTCCTTTTTCTCTGTTGGGTGGAGAGAGAGAGAGAGAGAGAGAGAGAGAGAGAGAGAGAGAGAGAGAGAGAGAGAGAGAGAGAGAGAGAGAGAGAGAGAGAGAG